ACACTGAGGGTTGCGATCCATTGCCAGACACGGAAAAAGACAAAAAGAAAAAAAAAAAAAAAAGAAATGGCAGCACATAGTCATGTGTAGAATTGTCACACAATGCGAGTCTTTAAAATTCCTTCTGGATTTGAAGGTATTAACAAGTTCCTATCAACATTCCCTAAAGGGTTTTTGATGTCATTTCAGCTATTGAACAAAAATATGTGAACTATTACTTTGTTGATTTTGTTCTTAAACCAAACTGCATTATCATCTGAGAGTATGTTCTTAAAGTATTGTTAAAAGTACTTTGAAAACTTGTAAATCCCTGTAATTTATGTTTCTCCTGCCTCTGCTGTTTCATTCTGTCCTTCTGGTTTTAATTTGAATGCAGTCCTGTCTGGGTGTGTACCTGTAAAATTGTGTTTTTCCAAGTACAATTTACAGTCTTGACCTTAGGTTTTACAGTGTTCCGAACCTTCTAGGAGCTTCCTCATATACCATGAAGTGGGCTTTGGGTCACCCAGCTCTTTCATATTAGAACTGTCTCATCAAGGTTACTTGAAACAGATCTGATTTTGACATTTCTTAGTTTACTATGCAGGCCTAGGGAGTAAATTAGGAGAGTTTCCCTGCAAACCCATTAATTGCATTGCCCCATTTCTTAAAATGTACACAGTTGTAAACCTAGACTGCTTCAAGACAACAGTCTCATTTATCTAAACAATTCTCCTTTTAGACTCAATGGCACTGATGGAAACAAAGATAAGGAGTATGGATTGGAGGAAGGATCTTTGGGAGCCTGTACTGCTGAAATTGTTCCCATTCCCTTGCAATCTCCTTTTCTTTCTAGGACTTGCCTACATACAGAATAGGTCTATCTGCATTCAGTACATTCAGTGAACTAGGTTAAAAGAAGATTACAGTGGGCAGGACCATAGGAGGGAGTATCTTACTTTCTCATGAATGAGTTCTTTGCAGGTTTTAAGGAATATGGCTACTCTACTATAAGGAAGTGTGGGGAGCACTTTGTTTTCCATTTCATAGGCATCTTCTCTCTGTGGCAGCTGTGTCCTTTATCACAGGTTATAATAATTTTTAAATGGCTGCAAAACTTTTAGAATCTTTTCCTTAAGTTGGGAAAGATTTTTTTTCTTCTGCTTCTTTCAAAAATCACTTAAATTAAGCTCTGGTAAGGAGTTAGGAGTCTTCATCTTTACACTCCATCAGCATGTTCTCCATTGTTCTAACAGACACTCTGCAGGGAAGAGGGTGGAGAGGGGGTGGTGAGGGGCAGGCCAGCACGTTTTGGCAGTTGACGTGGGCTCTTTCTCTGTTTCAGGTAATCGTGCAGTCCGGCCGCCACCCCACAGTGCTGCAGAAGCTCTGCCAGTTGCCCTTCCAGTATTTCAGTGACCCACGGCTGATCAAAGTACTGTTCCCTTCTCTTATTGCTGCTTGTTACAACAACCATCAGAACAAGATCATTCTGGAGCAAGAGATGAGCTGCGTTTTACTGGCTACATTCATTCAGGTACCTTCTACATTATGCCTGATTGTCTGGCTTTATATGTAAACTAGTGTGATTGAAAAGGAAAAGTGAACCAATTGTTTATTCTTGCCTTCCATGATACCTTTTAAAAACTTCAAGTATTTCCGTGCTTAAAAATTAGTTTCTAAAATATCAGGATAGTTTCTAAAATATCATTAGTAGAACTGGGGTTGAGTGTGCTATAACTTCTACATGAAAGGTTTCAAGGAAAGGATATTTTTCCAGTGAATGAAACGGCAACATGCCTCAGGAAATGTTTTTAAAAGACTGCCAGACTTCTTTAAGGCTTTAACTTTCACATTTATCTTACATTTAGTCTAGCAATAGGGAACAGATAATAATTGCTAAAGAAAGATCAATTAAAACTT